AAAAACACTCAGATCCTTCGTGAAGCATCATCAATATAAGTAACAAAATATTTATTTCTTCCAAGTGACTCGACTTCCATGGGACCACACACATCTGAATAAACAAGATCTAACAAATTTCCTTTCTTTGTAGATGGAACAGAAAAACTAACTCTTCTTTGTTTACCGAATAAATAGTGTTCATAAGAGTTTAACGATGTACCTTTGGCAAAGGGAATGTGAGACTTCTTTGCCAGAACTTGTAGGCCTTTCTTGCTCATGTGGCCTAGCCTCTTATGCCACAAGTCTAGAGATGAGTCATCCACAACATTCAACTCACATTTCAAAACATTGGTATTTGGTTGGTACAACGTACAATAAAGTCGTGCTTTTGCTACGACCATTAAGCTTTTAGTAAGCTTCAATTTTCCTTCACCAATATGGTGATAATAACCTTGTCGATCAAGGGTACTAATAGATATCAGATTGAGACGTATATCAGGAATATGTCTCACATCTTTCAACATCATCTGGCAACCAAGATTAGCTCTAAGGCAAATATCACCAATTCCAAGAATTTTGGAATAGCTTTCATTCCCCATCTTCACTATGCCAAAGTCACCTTCTTTGTATGTACTGAAGAATTCCCCGTTTGGATGTAGCATGGAATGAAGCTCCATTGTTAAAGATCCATTCAATGTCTCTGTCAGAATCACCCATATGTAGACATTCACCAACAGACAATATTTCTGGTACATCACCACATATGATAGTGGTGGTATTGCTAGTATCATCTTTCTTCTGATTGTTTCTTTCCATTTGCTCTCTCTTTCAAACTCGACAATTTTTCTTCATATGGCCTGATGGCATACACCTCTGAACTTTGACTTGGATCGGCTAGGACTCCTGCCATAACCTCTAGGTCCTCTACTCTTTACTTCTTATGCGGTTCTTTGTGACAAATACTTTACTGTTATCTGTGCCAGAAGTCTTTCTCCTTGTTTCTTCATTGAGCATCTTATTTTTAACATTATCAAGAGTAAGAACACCATTAGGAGCAGAGTTACTTACACTCACCACAAAGGTCTCCCAACTGTCTATCAAGGATCCAAGCAACAAGAGCGCTTGTAGCTCGTCCTTAATTTTCATGTTCATAGTAGCCAACTGGTTGATCATATTCTAGAAATTGTTCAAAGTGTTCTGCTACACTTAAACCATCCTTGTACTTCACATTGATGAGCTCTTCGATCAAGAAGGCTTTCTTGGTTAGGGTCTTCTTCTCGAACAAGAACTCAAGCTTCGTCCAAAACTCGCGAGCATTGGTTTCATTAGACACACGGTGAAAAACACTATCGTCCACCCATTGTCTAATTATGCAATTGCCTTGCGATTCATCTTCTTCCACTCGGCATTGGACATGCTCTCGAGCTTAGTGGCATCTCCTTCAATTGGCTCATGCAGATCCTTGCAATAGAGAATGTCCTCCGTTCTTGGCTTCCATGTTACCCAATTAGAGTTAGTGAGTTTAATCATAGTGCCACTTCCTTTTATCTCGTAGTATGAGCCAACAGAGCTCTGATACCACTTGTTAGGAATGTCAGTACTACAAGATAGAGAATGCACAAAGTAAGGTAGGAAATGGACACCAAGAATTTATGTGGTTTGGCAATTAACGCCTATGTCCACGGAACAACAATCAATCTTTGCTATATGAAAAAGATGAGTACAACAAGAGTAGTCTTACCAAGCCAAAGACAAGGCTTAATGGATACAAGAAAGTATAACACACACTTTCTATCACTCTAAACTTCACTCACAATGTGTAGTGGAACACTCTCACTCTCACTATTGGAGTGGAACTCTAGCTTTGGACTTGATCCTTTTATACTCACTTATTTGCTGGCAACACCCACACACCTATTTATAGGTGGGTTTATGCCGCCTTACCCATTGCCCACCGACTTTGGGCTTGCATGACAGCCACAAAATTGTAGTTTCTAGATCTTTCCATTTGCAACCAAGAAAACTAGTACTCTCTAGCTTCTTCCACCGACTTAATAACATGCTAGAATTGTCTTGCATGCTCTAGTCACATCACTTGCTTACTAGAATAATCTAGAACATTGATCATGGGCTGGATATGCCAACAACATTGACCTTCTATAGACAAGGGATTAAGGATTTTAAAGGAATTACAAGCTAGTTTCCCCTTAGGAATCCAACTTCCTGGTAAATGTAGGAAGTTCGTGTTTGGAATTAAGTGGTATTCCTTGTTTAATTATAAGTAGTGCTTTTCCTTAGTGGTTTGGGAAATTGTTTAGATTGAGAAACAATTAAACTAAATTAAATGAAAAAGGGTTTTCTTTGATTCGCAACTCATCTGCCCCACTAAAGCTCTTTGACTTTGCTTTCAAATAGCACTTCCTTTTAGAGGGGTCGAAGATTACATCTAGTGCTTCATCTTTATATCCCTTTCGTTGGTGAATCCTCCGGTGCTTAAAGAGGCAGGAAATCCACTTACACCGCAGCACTATCAGAAGAAAGATATGAGTTGAAGAATCTTTGACCATATTCATACGTCTCCCTCGTAATATTCGATGTTTCCAACTACTTTATGCACAACGCTATTAGATGCGTTCCTCGCAGTCTTTGATACAACTAAAGACATCAACAGGTCTTGAATTTGATTGATTTATTTGTCGAATAAGCGTATCTAATAATCAGAAAAATCTGCTTAGTTGGGTTCTTTCTAAGAACGCAATTTATCATAAACAATTATTTCGCTTGTGGCATTCAATCCTCACTTTATTAGGAATTTATGAGTGAGATGAGAGATGAACCGCCGTCAAATCGAGAAAGCGAGGGAGCGAGAGGTCTGAGGTGGAGAGGAAGGGGTGGAGCACGTGACATGTGAGAGAGGAGGCGAGCTCAAGTCGCGACACCTGTGAGCGAGTCGTATAGGTTGAGCGTGAAAAAAGAAAAATGAAAACTGGTTTGAGTAATGTTGTTCTTATCACAATTTTATACCATATTTCTTTATCATCTTAGGTGGCAGATGAGTTGGACAAGTTACATCATTTGATTTCAATCTTTTTATTAATTAAAACACTTAAATAATCTTAGGTGGAAGAAAGAGACTTCTCGTATACCACAATCATTATTTAATTAACAATCTTTTTATTAATTATTGATTAACATTTTGAAATTAAATGCTAATCAATTTAGATGATGTGGTTGTCCATATCATATGCCACCTAAGGTGGTATACAATTGTGGTACAAATATATGATAAGAATAACATTATTGAAACTAGTTTACTGCGTTTTCACTTTTTGGTCTTTACCTTTAAGTTTTGTTCGTATTTAATATTTTTTTTGAAACTAAAAGTAGTCACCAAACGAACTTTTAATTTTCAATAATGTGATAAATAAAAATAAAATTTGTTATCAAATGTCCTATAAAAAAACAAAAATGTTAAATAAGATTATCATAAGTTATGTATTTAAACCAAAGATAAGAAGTTCAAATATTCCATATGAGATGATAGCATGCGTTAGAAGTGAGCAGGATCGACTGACCAAAATAGTGTCAAGCATAAACAAATGAACGGCAACGCAACAAGCCAACTAGAGCCCCCTTCTTCCCTCCATGCACTCATAACTCCCCAAGCTAAAGGGACCCACCCTCCTTTGTATCTTACGGCGCACAACCAAAGTATCTTCGTTGTTGTACCCAAAAAAAAGGCACTCTAACCTACTCTCCCCCTCACCCAACCTAATGGTGCACCTACCTCTATTAACTAAACCAACCTTCACACCTCACACTCTCACGCCTACCCTTCACACCATCAAGTTTCTTAACGTGGATCGGAGTATAGTCTAAAGAACCGGTCGAGTTTTAAGACATTATAGAAGATAGAAAAGCGGTATGGAAAGTTCCCTAAGGACCCTATAGTAATCAGCGTTCGTTGAAATGTCTGCTTGGCAAGGTTCTAAAAAAACACACGACACTACTCAGGCGGCGGGCCTAGTGCTTAGGCGGGCGCCTAGACGGCTTAGGCAGATTTATGTAAATTTATTATATATCTTGTAAATAAATGTCTATTTATACTTAAAAAAAATAAAAAAAATAAAAAATAAAAACTATACTTGTATGGATAATCGAATAATGATAAAATGCAAAAATAGAAATAGAAAAATACACAAAATACATCCATCCAACAAGTTCAATATTTAAAAAATAGTAAGCATATAATCATAATGAGGAGTATTCTTGGATGATAGACTAAATTCTTTTTGTTCATGATCCTTGCATTGGATTGGACATAGACTAAATCATTTAACGTTGTTGTATCTAGTTTTTTTTTTTTTTTGTATGTATCCCCTCAAAAGTTCTCCAATTCATTTCACAATTAGATGAACTTGTAGTCAATCCATCCCTTGCAAATTAGGTACACCATTTTCAATAGTATACCACCATAAAACTAAAAAAAATAAAAAAGAACACAATTAATTTAAAAAAAAAAATCAAATCCGCCTAGAACCGCCTAAGTGCCGCCTAACTCTAGACCGATTTTTTGAAACGATTTGCCTTATATAGTGGCGGGTCTTCACCGCCCAACGCCTGCTGCTTGGTAGAATTCAATTGTTGATTTCCGATAAGCCTCGGCACATCACTCAATAGGTCTCAATAGACATCGACATGCCCCACAAATGCTTGACATAGCGCCTCAATAACAAAACTAGGCAAAAAAAAATCGATTGGAACCCAAATTTTTTTTCGCACGCATTAATTCTATCAAAAATCGTTTTCTTTTAGTGGATTCAGTGAAAGATACATCTAGCCCGTTTATTCACGTAACTGTCGATTTTAGATTTTTTTTGCAAATCAAACGCCGTGGAATCACAACCATCCATCTATCCGACCAACCAAAACACGCCAGCGTGGCAAAGAATCTCAACACGAAGCCGGACCTAAATTTTAAAATTAAATCCCGTTAAATGCGGTCCGATGAAGTCCCTCTTTACCCGCGAACGCGTATAAATAACGGCCCACCAAAGGCGCCACTCAACGCCTCTCCGCAACGGAAAATTAAGAAAAAAAGAAAACGAAATCGCAAAGTTCGGGTCCGAGATCCGGCGAGCCTCGTCGGGTTTCGACCACCTCAATTCGAATCATTAGTTTTGGAGCTCCGAAACGCATCGTTTCTCTCCTCTCGTCGACTTCGAGTTCTCCGACAATGAAGGGGTCCGGCAGTCTGGTCGCGTCGGTGGTCGCCGCGTCGACGGTGGCTCTGACGACGTCGTCACCGTCGGCTCTGACGACGTCGTCACCGTCCAACCAGGTACGCATAAAATTACAAAATGCTGCTGCAAGGTGTTGTTTTTTCATCAAATTTCATGAAATTAGTTTATGGATCTGCTAATATATCGGAACCTTAATCTAATTACGGCGTTAAATGCATTTGACTAGGGTTCTTCTTCCCCGGCGACGAAGAACGGCGGACAAAATTCGAATACGGCGTCGGATAAGGATAAATTCGAGCCGAGATTCGACGGGTTGAGGTTCATTGAGACGCTGGTGACGGCGCACAGATGATTAATTTGACGGCGGAGCACTGGAGTCAATTGTCAGCCCCGCGATTAGGATTCAGAGGAAGAAAACTTGTGCTTTCCTTTTTCTTTCTTCTTTATTTTTTTCGTATTTTTCCAAAGTTGAAGACTTTGGCGTCGATTTGTGATTGGGTCCCTTTTGGGTGTTGAATTTAGGCTCTCCAATCTCAGAATTCATATTAATTACCATTTAATCTCATATTAATTAAATGAGAAGCTTATTTTTTTAATTTTAATTTTTTGAAATTTTGGTGATCATAGGAATCTTCGTGATTTCCCGAAGTACATGTGACAAGGTCTGGACATTGTTTGTATTTCGTTGTAAATTTTCGGTAGCGAATTGGGGTTTCTTGCTGCGAGACGAAATTACTTGGAATTGTACAAACAATTAAACCATAGAAATTTTAACGTTTCCGGTATTGTTTATTTTAACGAAAAATCACATTTTTAAAAGTCAATCTTGATACTATTCATTTGACTATTTATTTTGTCCTTATTGTTAAAACTCAAAATTTTCAAGTTTTTTTCATTAGTTTTTCTTAAATCATATGCTTCCAATTCCTGTTGGTGGTTTTCAATGTTGGAAATTACGTTTTATTTTTTGTTTTGAACTTTTTGTTAATTGTTAATTGTAAGAAGAAAGGATTTGGTGGGTTTGATTTTTGTCTTATCATTTCTAATTATCCAACGTGCTGGGTTTGCTTTGCTTGCCCTGTGTATTATTTTAAATTTGGTAGTTATACAAATAAATTAATAGTATAAGTTATCGGCCAATTCGAGTGAGGTAGGATTGAGATCCTTTCTGGATCTCAAATTCCGATCCTTACGGACTAAGCAATCGGGAGCGTTCAAGAGGGAGAGATATTTGATCGTTGGGGAGAGGCGCTATGTGTGAGATGGCTAATAGGGATCGTACGATTTAAATTGAAGGTTCCAGATTGTTCGGTCCGCGAGCTGCGAATCTCAATCCCTTTTGTTACGTACATGACTTTCATGTCACAAAATGTTAATGTTATGTAAACAGTTAAAACAAAATGTTAATGTTATGTAAAAAGTTAAAACGCATATCATTATTTGACTGATTCGAGAATTTAAAATACAGTCACAGTGGCATATTCACTTGTGATACTTGGTTTTTAATGTTGGCTTAAAATTTTGATTGCTTTGTTGAACAATTCTACGGTACTCGGGAGCATTGGTAGCCGTAGAATTTGACGCACAGATCTCTGGCTGTCATTCTATGAATCTTTGTCGTGTCGCTGGTTGTTTTTTTTTTTTTTTTTTTTTGAACGCTGTCGCTGGTTGTTTGGTCACAAGAGGAAGGCGCATATAAACAGATCTTTGCAAGAAAAAGGTAGTGCAGCTACCGCACCTTTATGAATTAGATTAACAAAGTTTCCAACTACTTTTTATTGTTAAAGTAGTTTCCATCTTCGGATGTGTCGATGGCCTGTCAGATTTTTGTGGTGAGACATAGAGACTCAGATTCTGGAGAATTTTAGGTATCCCGAGCTTACACATTCACACGTTTATAACAACACTGATTATTCTATTTTATAACACTCATTGCGTAATTGAATTTTTTTTCTGATCACGTCTTTCAAATTTCATTACGTAATAAGTGTTATAGAGATGCCGGTGTGTTTCTGGCGATAGAGTCTCCATAGAAGGATGGGTCTCCAACATCCTAATATATATATATATATATATATATATATATTTTTTTTTTTTTTTTTCTCAATGCTTCAATTATTTTTGCTTCCTATTTATAAATCTACGATGACTGGATACCACATAAGTTTGTTTACAAAAAATCATGAGTGGTCCAACAATGACCATGATGTTTACCCTTGTAAATTGTAATCCAACAATTTTGATGACTTCGATCTGTAAAAGGATTGTGGTTGAGATTATTTAAAACATATTGGCCACACCGTGTACGACTATTCAAGAAAGCACTAATATTCATTTATGAATTAGGATTTGGGAACACGCGTTTTTTACACACATTTTGCTACTCTATTTTTTTTTTTTTAAAGGACAAACAATATTATCTACATTAAGAGAGAAGAGATGAGTTTAGCCTCACAGTGGGCTAGCAATAATTTGGTTCAAATTCACCCATTGGCGATAATCGAATTTAAGACCTCTCACTTACAAGTGAAGAAGAACACCACTAGACCGTAGTACTAAGTGGCCTACTTCGTACTGTATTTCAACAATCTGAACCGTTTATATTTTAGTACATTATTCATAGATTATCCTGGTAAAAAAATTATAAAAATCCAAAACCATAAAGACATTAATTTGGAGTGAAGAATACGGTTCTACAAAAAGACGCTAAATTTAATCCAACAACCATATAGTTTCGGATTTGAGTGATTTTTGACATATGTTATCTTTGAGGTAAACCATAAAAGATTGACAATTAAATTGTTAAAATACATTATTAAGTGGATTCCACAAAAACGCATGTCCTCATATTCTAATCCATCATTTATTTATATTTGTGATAAAACACTTTTGTTTTCTTTGAGAGTCTTTGAGACATTACAAATTTGACTCTTTGATTACATTTTGTTATCTATGTGACAGTTTAAAGAATAAAATTTAGTACTTCATAATTTTGCAGTCCAACAGATTCCGCATATTTTATTATTTTATACATTTATTGTTGTGCTTTTGGCCAGTCAGTTGAGTGTGGAACCGAACTTCAAATTACAACCTCACCAAAATACAAATTTACAGTTGAATAAAATAAAATACAAAAAATAAAGACACTAAGAAATTTACTAGGATCAACAAAATGTTGTCTACGTCTTCAGAGAAATAATACTCTTCACGATGAGGATAACTGGTAGAAGATATATTTGAGTAAAATCGATATAATCCAAACCCGAATCCCTTATATACCCACTCATAGAATTTCTCCAAGAGCTCACTCTACCCCATGAATTTCTCACTCTCACTCTTTGTTTTCTCTCCTCTGTGTTCTCCTTCAAATGATTACCAAATGCACAAATATTGCATCTAGTTATAGGCATAGAAGAGAAAGCATGCACAAGTGCATCAAGACCTGCTTTCAACTTTGCTTGTGGCAATCATCATGTCTTCTCTTGAACGAAGACTTCCACACCACGACCGAAAGCAAACACAAAGTCACAAATGACTGCTGCCATTTCTTTGTAGCATTCACAAAGTTACATATGCAAAATTGTTGCCAACTCATAATTAATCACTAATTTGTGAGCCAATCACAACATCTAGTACAAAAGTGTTGATTTTCCTTTCTATATAAATTTTGGTATAATTGCGTGTATTGTTCCTTTTTATTTTATTTTATATATATTATTATTATTGCAAATAAACATTTGCAGAGTGACTTTCTCATACTACACATTCGTAGAGAGAGAATTGAGTCCCAAATTTGATGAGCTATTTTGTAGAGTCTCTTGGAGCCAGTTTTGAAAATATGGTTCTACAAATTTAGTCAAAAGTGGATTTATGGAATTTGTTGGAGATGTTCTTTTTAACTTTTTTTTTTCTTTCGTTTCTTAGTTTTTTTTATTTATTTATTTTTTATTTTTTTATTCAACTTAAAAGCTAGATAAATACAAAGAAATGTGTAAGAGAAAAAGAATATACTAATTGTTTGACAAGACAAGAAGAGAACTTAAAAAAGAAACATGTTATAATATTGAGAAGAAAAACACGACTAAATCACGAATTGTTTTGTAATATTAATTTATAATTTAGACGATGATGCATGCTTCATTGAACTATTAAAAAGTGAATATCATTGCAACGGCCACACCATAATTTGTAGAAAAAATATGGGCCAATGGAAATGGAGGATAAAAATGAAATTATAAATCTATAATATATTTTTTTGAAAGAATAAATCTATAATATTAGTTTTATGGAAGAAGAAGTGGAGTTGGGAAAATATAAAATAAAATCTGAAGAACGCATACGGCAATAGTTTGATGAAAACTTGAAGTGCACGTGGGCCATGAATGCAGTGGCTTGTGTTCAAATCCAAATCTTCTGCATATATTTAGGATGTGTTTTTTTTGTGGCTCGATCATTAATTAACACGTATTAGTAACACGTATTAGGCCGAAGATTGCACTTTACAGCCTGACTGTCATTGATATATGAAGTGTTCTTCATTAGGCTGCTAATTATAGCTTATCTTTAGGGTTTAATTTTTCTGATATTATTCTTCTCACTAAGGAGGGAAATATATATTGTACAAGATTGATTTACAAGGAAAGAAACACCAAATAATATCTATCCTAATTATATCCTGATTACAAGGACCCAAATAGGTCACTAAGCTAATTACAAAGGTCAACTCTCCAACACTCCTCCTTAAGTTGGTGCATAAATGTCGTTCATGCCTAACTTGACGAGAGAGTTGTAGAACGCTTGACTCGCAACAGTTTTAATTAAGATGTCTGCTAATTGATCCCCTAACTTTACGAACATGAATTGAATAATATTCTCATCCAACTTCTCCTTAATGAAGTGTCTGTTAACTTCTACATGTTTCGTGCAATCATGCTGGATTGGATTGTGTGAGATATCAATGGCTGTTTTATGATCACAAAACAAATTCGAAGCCGACATTGAAGGACACCTGAGTTCTGCGAGTAACCTCCGAAGCCATAATAATTCACATACTCATTCGCCATACCCCTATATTTTGCCTTTGCACTTGATAAAGTAACCACTTTCTGTTTTTTACTCCTCCAAGTCACTAAATTTCCCCCCACAAATGTAAAGTATCCAGATGTGGACCGTCGATCAATAATATTCCCTGATTTCCTCTTTATCATCACCTGTAACAATCATATCATCCACATAAATAATAAGTGCCGTCAATTTACCCATTCGACGTTTCAAGAAAAGTGTATGATCGGAATTGCTTTGCCTGAACCCATACTTCCTCATAGTCGTCCGGAACTTACCAAACCATGCCCGAGGTGATTGTTTCAATCCATACAATGCCTTATTCAACTT